GATATGGATTGTATGCATTAAGCGCATGAATGTAACTTATATTTAAATTTAAGTAGGAATTGACACGACATTTGTCACCTTAAAGGCAAATTTACACTTCATCAGCTTCAAGGATCAATGACAACCGTTAATGACAAGTGACAAATGGTTTTCCTATGTTACGTTATTACACATTGAGACAATTAGTAGACTTAATGCTGACAATAAGAGAGAATAACTAAAGCATTAAATTATACTTTAACAAAGTAAATAAAAGTTTGTACAGTATATACTGAGCATCATAAGAAGTGAATCACGTGTAACTGCAACATGTAAAGCAAGTTATTTATATCAGAAACATGACTTTCTTTTTTGTAGCAGGACCACTGTTATTTAACTGAGCAGACATGACATGCAAAATGCCAATTAATATCTGTCTGAGACAGGGTTGATGAGCTGTGGCTTTACTGTGAGTCACAGGCTAGTGGTGTGTGATGATTTATTGTTGGAAGGAATACAGTCTGCAGATTGGAACTGCCCCTTGACTGGTCTGTACACAGTCTGCATCACTGCATCACCAACACCGACCTATTTAGGTTGATCAACACAGTACCCCGATTCACTGTTCGAGAGAACTTAACTCCACTGCTAGTGAGTCCACCTGGGGTGTTACTCCAAAACACTAATGGCAACAAAACATGGTTCTCCTGTGGATGAAAGGAATAGTTTCCCGTTTTCTTTCTTGATTTTCTACAGGCTTGATATCCAATCAACACTCTCGTTGACTCCGAAAAAATTATTCCAGGGTATCACAGTAGTCAAGATGGATCAATAAATTAAAATAACGACTAAAACATCTAATCAATATCCAACATCTACATACTTCATGGGCATCAGGGTGGTGCAGCAGTTAGCATTACTGGCTCACACCCACATTTCCTGGGGTGCTGTCTGCATGTACAGTATGTTCTCCCTGTGTTCCTGGGGGTTTCGTCCTACAGGCCAAAGACAAGTTGGTAGGTTGTTTGGCATCTGTAAAACATTGGCTCTGTTATGAGTGTGAATGTGCATTTGTGTCTATCTATGCCCTACGATGAACTGGAGTCCTGTCCAGTGTGGCTCCCACCTTGTGCCTGTTACTTGCCAGGTTAGTCTCCTGCTTCTCTGCACAACCCTGTATTGGATAAAGCTGTGGAGAGAACAGTTGGACGTATACTCGTATCTTTCTAAAATTTTGCATGCATAGAGTAATTCTTCTGATGCTCGGCAAATGTTCCATCTGTTCTAATTTACTTCATGAGCAAACTTCTGTTTTTAGCTCCCTTAAATCTGGAAATATGTTAAGTTTAAAAAAAAACTGAAACTGATTTGCTACAATTGAGCCACAAGCTGTTACAAAATAGTAAAAAAGGCAGTCATCAGTGTTGTTTTTTAGAGGTGTTAAAGGCTTTATTTTATTTAAAAGAGGTTTTGTGGCTTGATATCTATTTCAAGATGATGAGATATTCATTCTTCCTGTTGGCACCACACTGAGAGCTTCAAGCATGTACTGTTTGGGAAGGCACACAAAGTGCTGGAAAACATTTAAATATTTCACTTTTATAGCTCTTTCTTTAATGTTACATTCTAAATTAATATTTAATCAGTGATCAATTTCACTTCTATGCTTTATAGTGTTGTGAAAAAGTCCACCCCCTTATGATTCAGTGGATTTACATACTGTATCAAGATATATCAGACTTTCTTCTAGTCCCAACAGTAGATCAATCTAACCTCGTGTGACAGCATTCTTTAGCCTTGTGTGAAAAAGTAAGTGCACCCTGTGATTCAGTAATGTGTGGTGGAACCCAACAGCAACAGGGTGAAGTGAAAGTTTCCTGTAAGAGTACATCAGTATCTCACATTGCCTGGAGGAATTCTGGCCCACTGCTCCTTACAGAAGTCCTTCAGCTCCACGAGGAGCTCTTTAGGTCCTGCCACGGCATCTCAATGGGGTTGACTCGGCCATTCCAAAATCCCGATTCTTTTCTTTTTCAGACATTCAGTCGTAGAGTTAGTGGCATGTTGTATTTTGTCCTGTTGCATGATTCACTTTTAGCTAAGCTATGGCTGTTGGACAGATGGTCTCACATTTTCCTCTAGAATGTGCTGGTATAGACAGGGACTCATGGTGAGCTCAATGACTGTGAGGTGCTCAGGTCCTGCGGCTGAAAAGCAAGTTCAAATCGCCACCCCTCCACCTCCGTGTTTGATGGCTGGTACGGGGTTCTTGTGGTGATACGCGGTGTTTGGTTTTTGGCAAACATTTTGTTCTGGATTACAGCTAAACACCTGCACTTCGGTCTGCACATTGTTCCAGAAGTCCTGTGGTTCATGCAGCTGCTGTTTTGCAAACCTAAGCAATGTTCTTTTTGGAGAGAAGGGGTTTCCTCCTGGCTGCCCTTCCAGGAAAACCGTTCTTGTTCAGTTGTTTCCTCGTGGTAGAATCATGATCTCTAATGTTTACCATGTTGCCAGTGGTCTGTAGATCCCTGGATGTAGCTTTGGGGTTCTTTGCGGTCTCTAGAAGCCTCATAGACTGATCTTGGGGTGAATTTGCTGGGATGCCCACTCCTGGGTAGCATCTTGAACTTTGTCCATTTGTAAATGATCTTTCTTACTGTGGAATGATGGCCTCCAGATGGTTTTGAAATGGTTTTATAACCCTTTCCAGACTGATGAGCAGCAACGATTCTTTTTCCGAGACCATCACAGATATCATTTGACGCAGGCATGATGTGTTACCACAAGCCTGAATGCTCCAGACCAACCTGACAAAGTATCTGATTTTAGATACAGGTGGAAGCACTTCCTGGTGATCAACTGTGCACTTGTCTAGCAGCACCTGATTTTAATTACCTTCTTAGGGGATATAGAAGCAGTAAGGATGCACTTACTTTTTCACACAAGGCTTCTGAATGTCGGCTGATTTTTTTGTTTAATAAATAATGACAAATTAAAATTTGTGTGTTATTTATCACGAGATTATATTTATCTACCGTGAGGCCTACGTGAAGGTCAGATATATCTTAATATGTAAAACCATAGAATCTTAAGTAATCTTTAAGTGTACTTACTTTTTCACATCACTTTATAAAGCCTCCATCATAACTGTAGGAGCTAATTGTTTCTTCTGGTTTCTCGTATGGCCCCTTTAAGAAGGCATAGTCCTTTCCACTCTTTCCAGTGACCACTCACTTGTCCCGTTTAATCAACAACACCCTCAGCTCTTCTCTAGTTTAGGACGCTCTAGTCATTCACTCTTGGCTCAGTATTTTGAAAGCTCTCTCCTGGTACTGGGCTATTCATCGTTTGTCTCGTTTCTCCTAGTTTTCGGCACAGAGATCTCTTTGACCTCGTTTTCTGGATTACGTTTCCGGCTTGCTGTTTTGGTCTCACATTTACTGGCTTTTGGACTCTTGGATTTACTGAACCTTGGCTTTCGACTCGGGATAGTGTTTCGGAACGGCATTCTTGTGTTCTCCCTTTGGCTTTTGAAATCTCGGACTGGCTTTTGATACGGCACCCTACTCCGCACAGGATCCCTCTCGACTCCTCTGGCAACCTTCCGCGCATGCCTTCCACAGTCAAAACAAGTGTTTACTTTCTTTGTTCTCAAAAGAAAATCTCAAGTGAATACAGTGCTGATTTCATCATGTTGGAAACTAAATCATTATAATTATTAAATTAAAAATTTGATTTAAAGACATTTACTTATATTTCTAAGTAGCATGCTGTTTGTTCATTTGCTTAGCATCAGTGAAAGGGGATCAGATATTCCAACACAAAAGCAAAAGGTCTGGTCAACCGTTCATATGCATTTTTGTTTTCTGATTTAGATGCTACCAAGCTTATTTAGCTTACAAGCTATCAGTTCTTCAATTTGTGATATGTAATATACCTTAATAATACCTTTACCAATACCTTACAATAATCATATCTTATTATTATCGAACCTAACCAGAACAAAGCCTTGCATTGGCCTAGAAGAGAAGAATGCTTCATGTGTACATCCTCCAAGACATCACCAGGTCACCTTCTTTCCGCAGCACGATCTTGGGAATAAAACAATTACGCAGGACAGAGAGAGATCTCATGATAGTACACTAGGCCTTAGTCCCTGCCCTATAGCAAGGGATAGATGGTGCATGGCTTGTGCAAGGAAAGGTATCTACTGCAAGAGCTAACATAGGTGTCCAAGATTGCTTTTGATCACAGCAGTTCAGATGGATGCCTGTAGAAGGATGTCAGTGATAAATGCACACTGATACTGTAGTTACAAATCTCTCAGACCTAAAACTTGGGACCTTGCAACTTCTGTACATATCAAGTAAATCACAATCACAGTGTCACTAATGTCATTTTAATTTGTATCAGACTGCCTACAGTTCACCAACCAGTTTGTAGAAATAGTTGGGTTTAGGCTGCACTGCACTGGAGTCCTCTCAGAAGTGAAGGCGTGACTCAACCTTGCAAATATCTCTAGGCATGTTGCTTTTACTGAATGTTTGCTACCTCTTATTTTATAGTGCAACAATGATTGTATCACATACTGTACCGAGGCAAACATCCCACTGTAATTCAGAAGAATGCAATATCCAATAGTACAGACGGAGCCAAACAAATCCCCTTAAATGTTATTTCTGCAAATTCTAGGATGCTTTTTAATTTGCATTATTTTTCCATGTACTGTATATACTGTAATTCAGAACGTGATGTTGGTACATGTTTCCCAATCTATTATCGACAGCTTCTGTGATAGTCTCTTGCAAGTACTATGAAAGAACAGATGTATTTAGTCACACATTTACAACTGTTCAAAAATTCATCACATTCATATTCTCAGAACATTATGCATAAACATTTGTACTGGATGAAATCTGCTGTAAATCTGTTTCATTTTTGTCAGAGCCTTTGAAAATGCTGTTATCGTTTGTGTAAAAGGTAAAATCTTAAAATTAATTTTCAAATTCCAATGAAGATTAATGTTGGAAGCTTTAATACTGAATTAACAGGTCATTAGTTTTATGATTGTATCAGTACTATAGTGACTTAACAGACTGAAACAATACTTTGTATATTTGATGTTAGCAATGATATATTATTCTGTAGTTATATTAATTATGTCAATACGGAGTGCAGAACGTCCCTGATCTTTTGCTTCTAAGGGGACTAGTACAGAACACAGACTTTTCAAGACTGGTAATTCAATATAGCACTACAAACCTTAAATTTCCAAAAATTACAATTTCGTAACAGTGTCTCATTATATAGATACATTTCTAGACAAGCAATTCAGGCATGTTTAAAATAAAATGAAACTGACAAGTACGTATACAATTTGAAGTATGAAATAACTGTTATACTTGTGTTGACAAAAATACATATTTTTCACAGGCAGTTAGAATGTGTTACGAATAATATTGCTTACTTGAGACCAGTGTTGCTCAGACAGAAGGAAAAACTGCCTGTTGTAACACTGAAAAGAAAGTTTGGAAATTATTTTAGAGACTGCAATCCCTAACTGGATTGCCTTACTTTATAAACTAGATTTTCATTTTGTAGTTGTTACTGTTAATATATACTCATTATTTTTGAGACATACAGTCACAACTCAACATAACCATAACGTTTTTGTCTTTTTTCAGTTTTTTTTTTTGCTTTGAGTCTTCTACAGTAAATTGTAAATGTAAATAAATGCAACATTCTGAGATTCTTTGGGTTATGACTAAACCGCCAACAGGAGTATTCATTCACCACCTATAGGAGTATAAGATTGTTTTTTTTTAAAAAAAGACGGTGCTAATAATCGTCATGAATCTTCTCAAACACCTGTGCTTTCAAGATCTTCATTGTCCAAGCTCAGGGAAGCGCCTGACTTGGAGATCATTAGAAGTTTCTCCTTGTTTGTATATTGCCTGGTTATCCCTTTTGGGGGCTCATCAGAACTCTCTTGGAGATCTGGATCTGTATCGCTCCCCTCCTGTCTGTCTGCTTCCTTAGAGACTCCACTGCGGGAGGCAACAGGATCAGAAGATTCAAAGGACTCTCCTCCAGCTTCTCCAAGTTTTATGTAACCCTTACTGTTCGACCGTTCCAGACGGGGGCAGCTTAGGCGCCTACATCTTTCCCCCTTCTGGTCATCAGCTCTCGACGGACAATCACCGAGGTCTACAGACTTCGAGTAATCGGAAAGGGCGCTGAGGGAAAGGTGGGATCCCATTCCCCTCCGGCTGGGAGACGGAGGGAGCAACTGGACCTGTGAGCCCTGTGGAGAGGTCCGCTGAGCCCCTTGCAAGCTACTTGTGCTCTTGTGAATGGCTGCCGATTCTTCCGGGGAAAACACGTTGGTCTTTGAGGTCTCCACCTTGGTTTCAGTGTTACCACTGTTGGCACTGCTCACATCAGTCTCTTCCAAGTCACAAACGACTGCTTTGCTTTTCAGGTCTTTTGAGTCTGTGCTCTCTGGTGGCTTAGCGCTGTTTTCCTCTAACACACAGTTGTTAAGCTTGATCACTGGGAGGGTAAAAGCATTGATGGAAGAAGTAACAATCGATCTTGTCTCCCACTTTTTTGCCACGGGTGCCCTTTCAGTTGTCCTGGTTTGTTCCCTGTATATACTGTAGACCGTGTCTGTAAAGCTCTGGGCCTCTCTAGAAACAGTCTGTTGTCTGGCTCCCGAGTGCCGCCTCACTGCTTGAATGCTTTCACCCTGATCTTGTTGCTTGACTGCCGCAGAAACTGTAGAAGGCCATGAGCTCTTGGCTAGCATGGCAGCGCTATAAGATCCACCAGACTTCACGTCCACACTCCTTGACTGCACGTAGTTGACAAAGCCATTAAGTGGTGTGCAGTCTTTAGTCCGTAAACTGTGAATATCTATGACTGTTGAGTAAATGTCCCTCAGGTTGATAATTTTCGTCTTTTTGTCTCTGTTCTCATGAAGGACAGCATTGGCACAAATGAAAAGGAAAATGCCAATGCCCATGATCAGCGGGCCAAAGACCTTCAACTTGTCCGAATACAAATACCTCTCCAGAAATTCAGCAAAAAAGCCTAAAGATGAAGAAGTGTCCACAGAGGTGCTGTTAGAATGATTGTTTTTCAGCGAATCTCTGTCCGTTTGGTAAATATGTCTATTGCTTGTCTGATTATTTGACTCCAATACTGTCTTTCTGTTATTTGGTGAGTTTTTCGACTGTCGGACATCTTGATAAACTGGACTGTTCCTGGGCCAGTAACCCATTATAGCCATGGCTATTCCTACAAGCAACACTAATATTCCAATGGCGGCAATCAGCCCAGAGACAGAACACAGCTTCAATTTGCCCTTGACCACAACAACATCATTCTTTCTTTTCTTCTTTGGTTTCCTTTTCCTCTTGTTCTGCGCGCGATTTTTGGATCGGAGAGAATCCTGTCTTCTGGCTGAAATCCGAAGCAGACCTCCAGTTGCTATCATGATCACGGTTTGATGGCTGAACAGTCACTCATCCTAGGAATAAAACAGGGGGACAGAAGAGCTCAGTTATATTCCAGGTTTCTGCAATATCCTCTTCATAACAGTTGTGCTTTAGCATCATTTTAAATGAATTCAACAACACAAAGTCCTTATAAGAGCATGTAAATATCGGATTTTATAGGTATATCTGTCTTACATAACACAAGTTCTATTGTTTCCTTGTTGTATAATTACTGTACATTTCCCTCCGTTTACATTAAAGGTTTACATACAGTGCCTTGCAAAAGTATTCATTCCTGTTTTGATTAAAAATACTGACTTTAAACAAATATTTACACATCACTTGCAATTCAATAAAGGGGGCAGCATTGGAAGACGATTGCAAGAGATTGTATCCCAATCGAATTATAACTTCTTGACATTTTTTTATTGTGGACATACTGCATGTTCCAATGATATACACACACTTTTGGAGATAATCATGTCCATGAAAGTTAACAGGCAGAAGGAAAGAAGAGGACGTTAACATTTTTTAATGGCACCTGTCTAACATACTTCCCTTTGGGCTTTTCAATGAGAAGCCTGCACAGAAATAAAGTTGCAGTAAAAAGAAGTTACAGAGAAAAGGCTAAGATGTCCAGACACTTAAGGATGTGTTCTAGGTTAGTGGGGCAGTCACTTGAGCAGAACTTTCAAACTGTTGACATTATAAGAGTGTGTGGAGACTGTGTGTTAGTATCCCCTCTGATGCCTTGCATGTTCTGCATGAGGAATACCAAGTGATGCTTTCACATTTAGAGTCCTTCAGTGCAGACATAACACAGTGGTGTTGCAATGACGATGCAAGGGGTGATGTCTTTTATGTAATATTATATTTCATTTTAATGTAATGTTTATTTGTACTGTTTGCATACTTTTGCAAGTCTCTGTATGTGTAAAACATAGTTGCTTGGTTGCAAAATAAACTACTGAGAAATCAGAAAAGAAAGTATTATTGTATCGTAACTGCACAGAAAACACTTAATAAGGTATGGAACAAAAAGTGAGGTGAAATGACAGAAAAACTAAGATAACATCAGTTAGTCCTTTAAGAATGGTTGCTTAATTCAGTTCACTAAGACTCACAGGGATGAAGGTGTTTCGAATTTAAATCTCGGGAAGGTAAGGTTGATTAAGGTTATACAAATGCTGCAGAGGTCATTAAGAATGGTGTGTCATTAAGATACAGTATAAGAAGAACACTTTTGCCTAGAGAAAGAGTTTAAGGAAAAGCAGCCAGATCTATTTGAAATGTGAAAGGAATGCCATACACAGAGTGCCTTGTAAAAGTATTCCTACCTCTGCACAGTTTTCACATTTTATTGCTTTTAATGATTGCAGATATGACACTTTGAAGTAGCAGTTAAAATGTGTTGTATACTGTACATAACCTACTCCACACATTCAAAGCAAAAAAACAAAACAAAAGAGTAAATAGATGATTAATGTTAATGAAAAAAAAAACAAAAAAAAAAGTCATGCTTGTGTAAGTATTCAGTACCTTTACTGTGACTAACCTAATTTTTGGTACACAAAATGACCTTAACAAGCCACACAAATAGATAAGTGGCCTCTGTCTGCAATGCGTGCAATAACAGTGGTTCATGTGATTTCAGAATAAATACGCCTACAGTATGTTTATGAGGTCCCTCAGTCAGGCAGTGAACTGCAAGCAAAGACTCAACTATGAGGACCAAGGAGCTTTCATAACAACTCAGGGATAAAGTACTGTAGTATAAAGGGTAAAGGGAAGGGTATAAAAACAACGTAAGCATGGCTAATGTCTCTTTGAGCCTGGTGAAGTTGAATAAGAAGCAGCAGGCACCCAGACACAGCGTAGATCAGGCTGCCCATCTTACCTTACCAGGCAGACAAGGAGGAAGTGTTTAGAGGCGCCACCATGAGGCCAACAGTGACTTTTAAAGAGCGGTAGAGTTCAAGGGCTGAGACAGGAGGAAATGTCCATGAGTTAAAAGTCCCCATCTCTCCACATGGCAGAGGGGAACAACCCTTCTCAGATCCTGCACGGAGTTTGCAACAAAGCTTGGAGCGATGCAGCAAACAAGTGGCAAAAGGGTTTGTGTGAACACAAGACAAAACTGGCACGCTTGGGTCTAGATGCAAAGCTTTACAACTGATGCAAGCCCAACACACTACATCAGTCAGGCAACAAAATCTCTGCTGTCAAGCAAGATGGTAGCCGTGTTCTGCAGGGGTTAGGAAACTTGGCCGGACAGATGGGAGCATAGATGGAGCAACGTACTGGAAAATCATAAATGAAAATCTACTTCAGACCTAAAGCTGTGACAAACGTTTGACCTGCTGCAGGACAAAGACCTACAGCACAAGGCCACGGCTATAGTGGAGTGGCTTTAGAGTAAGATACTGAATGTCTCTGAGTGGCCAAGTAAAAAATGTTAATGCATCCTTTTGTAATTTCCCAAAAGTACTCCCATAGCAAGGGTCTGAATACTTCTGTACAGCACTTTAGTCTAGAACAGAGGAGGATTATGATCAAACTCAACGCTCAACACTGACACAAGCAGCTGATGGCACCCATGAACACTATGAAGAAGTCCATTCAGTACTGAGATTAGAAGGACTACATCTTTAGACAGAGACATGTAGGTACCAATTTGCTGATGCCAATTACCTGTGATGGTTTCAAAAATGACTGAATGATATCCTCAGAGCTACTGGCTTAACACTCAGGCTTGCATTTTCTCTAACTAATTTCTTATTTTCTTTTTAACAATAGACAAAAGCAACACCATAAAAATCACGTAAGGTAAAACAATGTTAGGAATATCCATTTAAAACTGAAATGTAACAATCATTCTTATAACACAGCAGACGTTTATCACTGAATATCTCTTATAACAGGTGGCATGACTGCTTTGATACAGCCCAAAAATATATAAGAAGGTGTTTGTATATTTTAAAAGGTGACTGAATATATGAATGTAAAAAAAGTATACTTGACCACCTCTTTTAAATTAAGATAAAAAATATTCTTAATTAATCTTCATTATGATACACCATCATGCTACTAAAGCCATTTATGCTTAATCTAAAATTTAAGTTAACAATAGCTACAGTACAAAGAGCTTAGTAAGCAATTTTAACATGATTATCACACAGGATTGTGAGTTCAGATCCCAGACAGGACACTACTATTGTAACTGCTGTACTGTTCTAAATGTTCTACTGCATAAATAGATCTTCAAGTCATCTACAGTATGTAAATTGACCAACAAAACTGATAAATAAAATAAAAGATTAAAAAGACCAATCAGGAGTTTTATGACACAGCAAGGCTAGACTTGAAGGAATGTTGTCATCAGAATTAACAGCCCATGCTGCATCAACAGAGGCTGAATTATTTCCTAGTCTGTATGACATTCTCTCGGTACCATTAAATTTGAATATTTGGTAGAGAATGCCTGAAGAGAATTATTTATCAGCCTTTGCTGCTTTTTGTTTGTTCGCACATATACAGTGACAAAAACATTGGCATTAATTACAAAAGCAACCTTTTACCGATGATAAAAACCATAATGTGTTCATGTGTAAAGCCTACAAACAGCACTTCCAACAGATATTTTTCCTAATTAATTTGCATTTTAATTAGTTTGAGAAACAAACCCAAATTGTACATTTTTTAATAATGAAAATGCATTTCAGTAAGCAGTTTGTAGATCACATAAATATGGTATAGTGTCTTAACAGCCTGCATGCAAAATGCCTGGGATAAAATGAATTGTATTACAGTGAGGTGTATTAATTCCATTTACAATTAAATAACCTACCACTGAGCAAAATCAATTAAATATTGTACAGAGTCAATAAAAGACAAGTGCTGATGTATGTTAATGGACCTGAATTTACAAATCACACATTTCTAAAGCAGCTCTGACAAAACACAGAGATCACAAGAATTGAACAATTATACTCGGCTAAAACAGCAATTATATACTGAAAGAAAAAGGCATTTCAAGATGGCAACACGGCTGTAGTTCTTTCCAGTTTCCTTAAAGTATACTGAGGTCAAAGCAGGTGAACAATCCATTTAAATGGATTCACCACAGTGAGAGATTATTTACTGTATGTTCATTTACTTGGCTGTATCATCCCAGATACCCATTCCTTTATTAAGAAAAATTCTGAACAGAAATGGGAGCCATTCACCTTTCAATATGAGGAGTGCGTAATTTCGAATTCACAGTGTCCTTTGTAGATAGTGCCGTAGCTGTTTCGAGCAAAAAAAAAAAGAGACTGCAGTATGTCCAGTTGTAAGAACACAAGTACAGGTAAAAAAAATAGACAATAATACTTCGGTAGGTATGAAAGTCAGTATTTTAAAAATTGCAAAAAAAAAACACTATGGTGTGGGGGCCATTTGCGTGTCAGTCGGCTAAAAAATCAATCTAGTCTTTCTGATCAAAACATCTCACTTCAAATTATCCATATCACATAATTTGCATGTACAAATATTTGAGGTAGCTCAGGTGGGCAGCTGCGTCAGCATGCGTAGGCCGCAAAGGAACAAGTAAATAGGTCTACTGCATGCGGAAAAAAGAAGAAAGAAAACACAACGTTTCGGCTGTGGAACAATGTTTTGGCTGTCCCTCTCTCCTGGCTTTTGTTTTCCCAGGCTACATTATCTTTGCTGACTGTCCCATCTTTCTCACACCCAAAGAAGACTCCATAGCCGAAATGCTGCGTTTTCTTTCTTCTCTTTTCAGCATGGAATAAACCTTTACTTGTAAAGATATCTCGCGTGCAACAATAAATGGAGACATCAGGGAATGTGTGGCTTTTCCAACGATCACCAATTACCGTAACTCTGCACGTGATTACAATTGCAGTCTGAAAGGAAAGACAATTTCCAGCCATCCCACGGTCTTGGCTGAATGTTTGGATCCGTAAATATTCACAGTGGTTTTACTGCCACCTTTATTCGAACTTGGCTACAGCCGATATGGAGACTGCAGATGAGTAACACAGAGTAGTCTGCTGTGCATGAAATTGTGATGGAGGAAATGCCAGGAGCCCCGCTAGCCCAACATCAGAGGAACAATCCAGGCCAAGTGCTCTTCATTCTGATCCTGACAAAGGTTTTCCGTAAAGTTTACAGGAATGCGCCGTTTTAACAAACTCCCAAAAACTTTTACAGGACCCTTCCCATTAAAAACAACAACAAAAAACATAGGTATCTTGTCAAGAGCTGCTTTGACCTCAGGAAACTATTCAGAGCATCCAGGGGTTTGATGGGATGAAAGCAAAGAGAGTGCTCTGGATTTGGATTAAGAGTAGGCTAGTCTAAGGTCAGCATACAGCCCAGGGATAAGAGCCTGAGATCCCGCTGCTGTAACAGACATGAAAGCACAAAACATGCAGGTCTGAGTTCTCATGAAGATCACGAGCATGATACAAAGCAGAATTAAACATATTCCAACAAACTGTTTGAAGAGTCTTTATTTGACTTTTATACTACCTTATAAACAAATGAGGCTAAAGGCCATTAGCATGCTTGGTGCTTCATGCCTTTTGAACATTCATCAAAGTCACCTTAGGAAACAGAATATTGCAAAAGGTCCTGGTTTGGTGCAGCACAAACTAATAAAAGGCAGACCTGGTTGCTGTGAAACACAATGAGCTTTTTACCATTGCTCACTTTTATCTACTCAAAACCATACACAAAAAAATGTGTTTAGAACGTTATTGCAGGCTCATCGACAGAGCATCAATCTGTAGCGTATTAAAAAATAATCTTGCCCACTTCTCTGTGACTAGTCAGAAGTAAGAGAAAAAGACATTTGTATTCTGAAGCCATCACAGGTACTGAAAAGGTCAGCAGCTCCCTGCTGCAGGACCGGTGTGATTCTGCCACCACTTTTCTTAATTTGAGACGACACGTTTTCTCCTATTATAAATGCACATGGCAAGGACAAATAGCAGCATGTAGCATTTCTGTAAAAGGTGCCGAGCAAGTTATCCTGTAGCTCTCAGCTGTATTGTTTTTTAGGCTAATAGTTCATGTTGTAATACAAGCTTTGGAATACAAGTCTCCTCTTCTCTTACATTTGCATGAAATCTTAAAAGAATGAAAATTAGCTTTCACATGTACTGTATAGTCCTGCAGCTGATAAATACTTCATGATCTCAACTACTTAAACCATGCCCGTTTCCTAGGATGCATGTGTATTTGTGTTGGTCATTTCAAGCTAAAGATCACTGAATTCCTACATCAATAAAAATAACTTACATGCTATAGTGCCCCTGTGTTGGGTCAGTATTAACCTGATGAGGAAAATGACATTGACCCAGTGATGCAAATTACATACAGCAGCTCCAGGACACTAAGGTTTCTTCACAAGATGGTGCTCATGAAAAAACGATAAAAATAATCATAACATTTTCTGTTAATTCACCAAGGATTACAAAACACATGATGATCTTACAGTACGTTTAAGATGTTATTCTTCATTTGTCTAGCGAAGATTTAAGGGACTGCAAGTCGTATTTTCAAAACTACACGTGAACAGCAACGCTCATGAAATCTGGGGTCTGTTAAGTTATTTAACTACAAATGATAGGCAGGGACCATAATGTCAAAAACAGTCAACGAGTTTTATGGTGAGCTGATTAGCACAAAACATAATCTTATCTCCCTGAATGATAAGAATGTAGCCCTTGGCGCTGTGCTCAGTCTTCATGTTCTGCTTTATCTGCACTTCACTATGCTTGGCCTGAGTGAATCCTTCCCTCCCTGTGTTTTAATGATGAGCAAAATTAGATTTCCATACTTCACTTCACTGTGTTCATCCCCAGCCTCACCCCCCCCCTCACACATAATCAAATACAAGATTTAGGACCACACTCATTTCATACCTGTTAGGTATTAAACAATGTTCATAGTAAATCCCATTAATAAACCATGCCTTCACTACAATGCTATTATAAGAAGCAAAATATGTGCATAATAAAGTACAAATGTAAAGTGAAAGATTTTATTGCAGACTCATAGAATATTAAGTGCAAAATGAATTAGAATACCTCTTTCAAAATCGCTCTTTTTGCCTTGTTATAAACGCATTTTAAATGGCATTGCAGGACAAATCATTAAGTCCTGCCTGTAGCAAACAGAAACATTGCCAATATTACACACATTATTCTCTCAGGAGCATGATTCAGCATTTATATTTTGCACCACTACTGATGATAAAGAGATTCAGGGCATTAGCATCAAGGACTGACTCGCAGGCTTCTCAGATGTTCTGTAATTAAATGGAGTAGCAAGACCAAGGCTGTATGAAGAATGAGGTGAGTGGGAAGATACTGATCTTAAAAGATTAGATTTATGGTGGTGAAGCTACTAACATGACAAAACACAACACTTGTCCCAGAATGGCTGCAAAATGAGGTCACTGTCTTATGTATCTGTCAAAAACCAAGTCATTCGAAGTGTGATCAAACTACAAATGCAGTACCAGTGAAAGCAATGATATCACTAAGTACCATTTTCCACAGTGGACAGCACTAGCCCAGTCTAATTCCTAATTAATCTACCCCTGCAACTAAGAACACTTTAACAATAATACCAATAATTAAAAGCAGTAGCAGTCATTGTAGTCTACTCACTATCCTTTGTGGTACAGTATATGCTGTAAAGATGCTGAAAAGATGACAATGGAAAATAAATGTGTGGGCAACTACAATTGATTCTCTCTATTTCATTCACTGGGCTTCTGGCTGGACAATAACATTGGTATTCTGGCAGTAAATCACAGGGAATCAGGACTTGTTTTACTTACAGTATGACTACACACTGTTAACTTTTAGATGACCGGGGTCTGAACCAGTTGCTTCTGTACACCGTGATGGAAAAGCATTGCGAGTTTATCATGGAGAAAACTTTGAAAGACCATTTGTATAATCACTGCTGCAGAAAATATCTTGTGTTGAAGCTCTTGACCTGTACTAGTCCTGAGTTACAGATTGGTTGACAAATGGTAGCATTCATCAGAATGGGCCTCTTAGCAGCTTCTCTCTATCCACAGTGCTGAACTCTTGGTTGACAACACTCCAGTCTTCTGTAGAAAATACCGTACAAACATACTGATATTTTCATACTAAATGCACTGCATTGCTATTACAACTGACCAAAAAAGAACAGTACCTCCCCTCAGCGGAAGGGGTCAAATGTCACAGGCTGTATGACCAAATAATGTGTCAAGTACATAGGTCTGTTTCTAATATTTAGGTTTTGCAAGAGCCAAGAGGAAAGAGAATCCGGTTTTCATCTTCAACCAAACAGCACCTGTCAGTTACAAGTAAGATTCCACAGGATGGACAACCAGATCTTTTTAGGTTGCAGAATAAACCTGGCTGTGGCTCACACCACTTCACCGAGCAGCCTGACTCTGCTCAAGAACATTCGACAGCTGTTTTCTATGAAGGGTGAAGGGCAGGGCATATATTTTGATGATCTCAAGATTTATGTTCTAAGGGTACGGGGGAGGTTCATCAAACCCTCAGAATGTGCAGTCTCCTATTAAAGACAATTGAGAAGTAGATGTCAGCCTCCTTATTTCATTATTTGCCTGGTATTTGTAAGGTAGAAATGTTGCAGAACAGGAAGCAGAGGAAGGAGAATTAAAAAAAACGTCGTTTTCAGTGTTCATTTATTTTCGAAGGACTAACATTCAATTTGAATATATCCAAACGGATACAATTTACTAATAATTAAATGCAAGGCTATATTTAAAATTGCGGATGCAGAACATTAGACACGTCACAATAAACATACTCCAGCGTGGCAGACTGCGTTAATTCTAGAACCACACACAGAGGTAACAATTCACGGACAGGGCTAATCAGCAGGTCAGGAACACGCTAACAGAGTGGATAAGATCAGAAATGCTGATTTGCAATATAAAATGGATAATTCAGGATGCACCTGAACGGTGGTTTTGTACTGCTTGACTGCACAAACTCCCTTTGTGGAGTCAACCTTGGAACATCCAGTCAGTGCCCTGGAGAAACCTAATTCCTAATTGTACACATCTCGTTAGGGACTCAGTCTCTAGAGGAATGGCCTGTTCAATTTCGGGGGGGTCTTTATGTCAAATCTCTTGACTAAAGGATAGAAAAAAAAAAGCTCTAGCCCTGGTTGGTTTGCTCCTGAAACACCGCAGCAATTTCCACACTCTACGAGCCGCTGTAACATGAAATTCTGGAAATCAACCTCTGAATAAATGTATTTCTTTTCTTCCAAACTAGAGTGCTCATTCATTACGGACATTTAATTACAGTGCAAAACTAAACGGCAATTGCTCTTTAAGAGAAAAACGGCATTTTAACAGTACATCAAAGACATTGGGAAAAGCTTCTATTCAGAAGCAACTAACGCTTACTGTAGCTCTGTATGTTATAAACTCCTGTTCACGACATTCTGAAACATATTTAACGTTTACGAGCAACAGTATATGTTAAAGCAAAAAAAAAAACATTGAAGAATTCCCAGCGTAATAGAATACATACTTCTTTCGGTTTTCTGCGGTATGTAAATAATTGCCTGTATCGATAAGTAACCACAGCACAATTCATAGAATATTCCTGCAAAGCAACGTACATTTCAGTAGAATTTTATCTGTATTGAGGCAACTCTTACACAATTATTACTAAATTGTCTTAACCCATAGACAAAGGTAGCAATGATAAAGGATAGACATCTGTGAAAATGGCTTCATACTTGTCTGAATTTTCTTCGGAAACCGTGAGTGATCTGTGCTCAAGTCGGCAGCTGGAACAGGTCCCGGTCCTGTTACCTCTTCAACTGCAAGTCACTTCTGTAACCTGCGGTACAGCGCTGAACTACACAGTAACTCTCGGCGCACACCGCGGGAGGTTTGCTGGTTAACCATTGTGGGAGTAAAAAACAACGAATGCTGCTCCAGAGATATTTTCAAACTCCACAATCAGATCTTAAATACTCCTGGAGGTGATCAAAGTGGAACAGGAATATAGCCTCATAGCACAGGGTTAAACAGTGAAGAGCACAAATATCAAAATAGGGATTACTTCAAAACAAATGACTGGGCGCTAGGGATGATACAGTTAATACAGGCAGAAAGGCTGCCGCCGGACCCTAAATTGATAATGAAGATTAAATGTGCCCTACTCTTGGCGGTTTTTTTCTACCGTGCAGTGATTAAAGATATGTACTGTATGTTTTTCCCCTCACACAACACAAAATGCTCAGCATTCATTTACAGTAGGTGACACTTAAACCCCTACTTCTCACCCGTTTCTCACGAACACCATTCACCAAAAAAGCACAGAATAAACAGAATGAGTAGCGGGGTGTAAAAAAGTAATTAGGAGTAATTAATAAAATATGACAAGGTGTGTGCGGGGGGTTTATAAGATTTAAACATATTGATCCCACTACATCTCTGTTTCTATCAAAGTATATATTTTTTATGAATTCGTCATACCTTAATGAAAAACGTTTCATCTTAATCATACGCATAAACTACACACCTGGACCAAGCATTTATACAAAGCCCTTTGTACACACCTACTGTATCACCGAGCTTTCTTCTTAAAGCACTAATTAAAGAAATAAGCTACTCAGTTGCGCGAATCGCATACCGTCATGTGTTCAACTGACTTTGTAGATATAGGTGTTGCCAATCCATTTACTCTTTCAAAACAGCCCCCGTTTTGTTGAAGAATGTAATACAAAAATAAAGGGATACAGCGGTAATTTGTTTTCTTAGGCTTCATCAGCTGCCAGTCGTTGAAACTAGTCTTAAAGCCGAAGACCCCCGAGATCCGCCAGTCTCCATTAATCTTTAAAATGGCAGCATTTACATGGACAGCAAACGACCAAACTTACCAGGGAAGACGCACGAAATGTAACGACGCCAGGGAGAGGGGGGGAAACAGATATTCCCGGGGCTTTCGCAATCAGCAAAAAGTTTCTGCCTTCCAGTGTGGACACCTCAGACGTGTAAAGGAAACTCTGCGCTGTGTTTGACCCCCCATAATCCAAGCCATAAAAAAAAAAAATGTGGCCAAAGCGTAAAGCTGGACTAGATTGCAGAAGTCATCCAACCTCTAGTGAATAATGGAAAGTTGTAGTTTCCATTGGTGGACGCGCATTGTCCGGATTCCCGAGTCTTCCGTGGATGTCTGTGGGCTCAACGCGCGCCTTCCCGGTTTCCTCGGAGTTGCAGCCAGAGGTCTGTGCAGTTTGTAATGGTGAGTTTTCAGCTGGCAGACAGGGGTGATGGTGATATTGCCGATATTACCCTGAATCCCCGCTGTTGCTATGATACCACAGCAGTGACAGGCTGAAACGGCTGCAGGATGTGAATAATTGCCTTCTTAACTATCCTTTTAGTATAGTAACCAGCCCCTTCCTCTGTCCGCATCTAGACGAGCAGCTCCCCCGCCTGCGAGAAAACCGAGGTTCAAAACGGAGAGCGCAGGTGTGGGAAACACACAAGTGCGCCCGTCGACGTGCACGGCAGCTGCACTCTGCACGGCCACATCAGCAGCCTGTGCAAGATATCACCTGGGTTCCTTCACAAGCGTGACCTCCTCGCCGTGATGTCAAAAAGCACAAAAGCCACATTGCCTGTGTGCGTACCGACGTCACGGCAAGGCGATCAGCTCTGACCTGTCGGCAACTGGTTAAAATGTTAGATGAACATCTTCGCTGGAAAAAAAACAAAAAGGCATCGCAGAATGAAATAAACTGCGTTCACCCCGTCTGCTTTCGCAGGGTTCACATAGTGCAAGATATTCGTCCAGAACGTTAAGGCAGTGCGCCTTAAACGAAACTGTTCCCAGAGCATGTTTTTTTTCCAAGCCATAATCTACATCACCGCAATTATTTCCACAGGATCTGAGAGCTGGAGCTGAAAATAAACATGCCAGCTGCGTGGGATTTGACAATATTCCACTGGGGGGTGGAGGGGAGGGGGCAATGTTCACATCCGTTTCAAGAGCATTTTTTAGAGACTTTTAGCGTGAAACTAGATCCGTTATTTACGAGCAATTACCAAACGATTACTATCAACTATCAACATAAATACATTCCTGTCATGGAACTGCTATAAGTGTTTTATATTTGCAAAACCTTTTGTCTGGTAAAAAAATATTTACTTTTTTTGGATAGCATTGTAAATTCGACGTACGATTCCTTTAAATAGATATATAAACAATACCATTAAAGCAGTAAATATAGTTCAGAAATTATATGAGCTTTATGCTGATGGCAGGTACAGTAGCTAGACAAAACACGTTATTTTTCGTTAGAAATGCTGTAACGGATTTGGGTTCTTGGGCTTGTGCCCTCGCCGCTCCCGCTCCAGTTCGTCCCTCACCGCATGGGCTCGAACCCGGGCCTCCAGCGTCGCTCAACAGGGGTCTTGCCGGCTGAGCTAAAGAAGAGCTTCTTCAGCCCGGGCGGCAACATCCCTGTGAGGCGCAGGGGCGTATTCGTTACAATACTAATAAAAAAAACAACCTGGAATTTGCAACTAGTAAACCTAAGAAGTACTGTGAATTAAAGTCGTTGTGATCTTCAGCTGAAACAATGTTAACCACTTATTCAATTTATTTAAATACATGTTCTTGGTGAAACTGAAGGAGTGTTCGCAAAGCTTTGCAAGTCAGAGACTAGTCTGGAATGCGCTTTTATATGCATTTGCTCAAACCTGTATATGGTAATTCTTGGCCATTGTCGTTCCATCTAATATTATACAGCTCTTTCAGGGCCATTATTTGGTGAACATTTTCATCATAAGAGCAGCATACGGTCATCAAATCATTGTGATGACCAGTGAAGAAAATGAATGTCCTTCATTATTCTACAGTAACATGATGGGATTTCTGCATACTGCAGCAGGCAAGAAATTGCAGATGACTCCAAGACTGAATGACCATTGGAAAACCAACTAGTTTTCAGTTATACTTCATGTTCAGGGACATTTTCAGAAGTGCGGTCAGATTCTACTGATGAAAGAAGCTGATGAATATAAGGGGATAGCGTACTTGATATGTTGGCAGAGGAAGTGACAGTGCTGGTCAGAGATCAGTACTGTCACGTCCTCCTCACTCATGAAGGATGAGCCAGGGAGAAAATGCTGCAACATCGATGTTGGGGTGGAGGGAGAGGTGCTAAATCAAGATTGTCGTGCTGCGTACAGCCAGGGATCTTATGTACAGTATGTGGAGAAACGGAAATGTGAGATTAGAATTTAACCTCCTCCTGAGCTTCTCTTCAAAAAACATTTCTGTAGTTCGGTCTAATTCTAATGAGGAAATGAGCTGATGAATATAAAAGGATAGCGTATTTAATACTTTGTCTTTAACTAGCCTGGCTTAGGAAATGTCTGTAGAAAAGTGCTGTCACATCCCCCTAAGGATCCCAAGAAACACCCACACAGATTTTGAACACTGAGCTGAGACAAGTCGGTTCGGCTGCAGGCTTGCAGGGAGTGAGCAGGACGTGCCTTTAACATGAAATGAGTGACAAGTGCGCATGATGCACACTTGAGCTTGTTTGAACAAGTAGATACAGATCTGCAGCGAATGCGATGTGATATGCTTGTGCCCGTTTGATCAAGACAATTCGGACGTGCAGTGAATGAGATGCCGGCCGAAGCTTGTTTGATCAAGAAAATTCGGACGTGCAGTGAACGAGATGCAGGATTGAAATTGTTTGACTAGATTCAGATATGCAGTGTTTTGGAGGAAGACCGATGGTGAATGAAGTGAATGAGAAGCACTTCTGACCAGGTGACAGAATGAGTCAGCAGCCAGGTGGCTTCATTTGCAGCTAGCGGTGCTACAGTAGCAGGACTTGCTGGCTTGAGACTGGAACTCTGTAGTGGGCAGCAGAAGTGGCCCAGAGGAGTAGCTTAGTGCAGGAAGTAGGAAGACAACATGCTGAGATTTGCTTGATGGATGAGAACGTTTTCCAAGCAAAACCCCCAAAGAAGAAGGGATATCAGCTACTGTACACATTTGGCTGGACGTTTAGGAAGGGGGAAGAGTGGAAGGCCAGCACCTCGTCAGCTGGACACCAACTGAGGCAGGGGGAACAGTGGAACCTTTGAACTTGCTCTTTTGAATCCGGGGAGGTATATGATTATGTATACCCTGAACTCCACATACTCTACCTAAAGAAAACTTCTTAAGTCAGCTTTAGATCAATATCCTGTCAGAGATACAGTGAATACTGTTGCTCTACTGTAGACAGCATTATCTCTGAAGCCTTACTTTCTGACATGAAGTATAAATGGCTGACAAGCTTTTCCTACCTGGTATCCTCTGAGCAGGACATCTTGGAGTGTGGGTGCTGCCTTCCCTAAGGAATGCTATTAAAGATGTTCTGGAAATTCAATCATTTGATTTTGACAGAAAGATACGAACTTGTTGAAATGTGTTAATATCAACAATACCTGTTGTATATGAGTAACTATAATATTTTCTTATATATTCCTGCCACAATTTTGATATGGTGCAGCATTTTACAACATATGGTCCTTATCTTCGCCAGTAATGACTTAAGTACCTTGTGAGGAGACGAATGCTCTGCTGTTCTCTGCACATCTTGGAATCTACTGTAGATATGTCAGTTCTGCCTCCAATTTTACTGTATTCTCCCACTTTCAGCTATCACACTGGCTTGAAGAGATTAAGTTTATGTGCAGTTGTGTACATCATGAGATCTTTTACTTGTTAAAACGAATTGTAGATTCTTTGAAGTACAAAAATATTTTTACCACTATTGGTCAGATAGGGAAATCATCCAATTTTAGGTCAGCTTTCATTGGAATAATTATTATTTTTTAATGAAATATCAAAATGACAAACAAGATTCAGACATATATTCACCATGTGGCTAGAATACAGTACTATTAGTACCAATGGCTATTACCTTTCTTGGTGCGACTATAATGTAGTCGTACATTTACAAGTAGGTTTAATATAGATAACCATTTTTTAATATACCTCTGCTACATCATATTCCTGAAACTGAAGCCATTCACAATGAGGAAAAAAACTTGTTTGCTAGCCTGAGGATGATCAGTTTGCTCATTGTGTATCACTGTTTACTGCAGGTGAGCACTCACATGTGGTAAACTGGAAGACATCCACAGATAAATACAACAGAGGTAGCAGAGCTGGGTTGTTTCTTCTGAAATTTGCCCCAAATGGGTGGTGTGTTGTTAAAAAAAACATTGATATTATTTGAGAGTTCAGTTTAAAATAGCATACAGCAACATTCAATGATGAAACCCACTAGAACAGATCATACACAGCATTACTTTGGTGGTCAAAGGTTCTGTAACCAGTATGCTGGTGGTCAAGAGAAAAACAAAGTCAGAATTGATTCTGGACTCCAAAGTACAGTATAGGTACTGTGGCAAAGTGGAACAGTTTTAGTGCTTTGTACTCTTGACAGCAGGTTTCAAAACATCGCTGGAAGCCCTGGTGATGTATCCTTAAGCAAGGAATAAGAACCCAGATTTCTCTAGCCTATATTTGCATGTGGAGAAAGTCTAATTGTAATCTCTGTAGGTTGCTTTAATTAATGAAGGGTAAAATAGGGGCAGGGTAATAGTAGAGAATTTGTATGATATATTTAAACAAGAATTAGCTTCTGGGGAAAATTAATGGCGATGTTTTGCACGTAGATATTAACAACGAACAAATGTACTTTGAAATATTACCTAGATGAAGACATACATCGTGGAGCCCTCTCTTGTGAGCTGACTTGCCCCACTTTCACTAACTCTCTTAGGGTTATATATCTCAGTTGGGCTCTCAAGGATCCCAGCACAGCGTACCTTACAACTTTTCGGTGTGAATAATTGGTATATGGTTCACTTTCCTATACATAAAATACATAAAAGATAAATTTTCTTTCCCATTTTTAGGACAGTAATTTTTAAACCTCTCTTAGATATAGTGGGTGGCTGTTCAACACATTAGCAATGCTATCAAATCAATAAGCATAACAATAAATATTAAGGCAATGTTATGATGTTGTAAATTGTCCCATCATGAGTGATCAATGTTTAGGCACAGGGTAAGCTCTTTTTTTTTTACAAAAAATGAAACTTTTTTTTCTTTTATGAATGATTCATGATTTTTTAAGAACTGTGCTTCATATCGCACTGAGGCTGAAGTTAAAAACTCATAAAGCCATTAGGTGAGTACATGAATCAGTGTTAGAGAACATGGTTTTCTTTTGAAAGTATTTTAATCATCGGTTTTTGAACAAGTGATACTACAGCAAATTATCTGGAGTGTAAATGAACTTTTTAAAAATATACTGTACCATGGCCGCAGCACTTTACAAAGAACAAGACAATTTTAAATTTCCCACATGTACATGGACATGAAGGAACTGGGAATTGGTGATTTTTCTTGCTGAACAGTAACTAATTAAGGCACACCAAAAATGTGCTCTATGAGAAAGCAGGTCTACACTCTGAAGAACAGAAGAAGGCTTTATTCAGTGGAGGAAAATAAGAAACTATAAAAATTAGAATCATTACCTCTGTCACAGGGGGTTCTCATTCACATTCTTAATTGTCGAGGTGCATTTCGATGTCTCAATCCATGGCTAACCAGACCATCTCAAATATTCACTCGGATAGGATGCTCTCATAACGCAGAACTATATTATAAACATGCAAACAAGATCTCATATAACACATATTTGAACAAGGAATTAATTCAGTCCTGCTGTAAGGCATAGATAGCCATCAGTAAACCCATTGCTCAGTGTTACGTCCCAGTGTGTGTTGTGTGTGTGTGTTTTTTTCTATGTTCCACACTGCTGATCCTTGATTGTTCTCCCTTCCCCATTGGCCCACCATCACTCCACTGTTTCAGTATGATGTCATCATTAATTAGCCTCAGCCAATCAGAACACGTCTTATTCACTATATAACATGGAGGCTTTCAGAAAGAAGAGGCCTTTCGTTTGACTTCGGTCCCGTTCGGTTTTGGTTTTCGCTCCGCTCCGCTCCTGGTTATTGCTTCGGCTTTGGTTTGTTTTGCTTTGTGTGTGTGTATTTTCGTATAGCTTCGGCTTTGTTGTTTTGTTGGATTTACGTTAGTTTCTTTGTACTTTCGTTTGCTTGTGTGTTCATCCTTGTTTTGTCATTACCTTGCCCCAGTGTTACATGTTCAACTTTTGTGTTCTTTTTGTACCCTGCTCCTATTTATTACTCTTGTTTTCCCTTATTTGTCTTCCTGGTTCACTTGTGTTTTTGTGTGAACTTTTGTATATAAGGTTAGTTTAGGTTGTTGGGTACACTTACACACTTAGTTGATTTTGTATTAGTACACTAGTTTAGTACGGGTGAGTGCCGTTTGTCTTGGTTTTGGGTAGTCAATTCAGGTTAGCTAGGGTGTTGAAGACGCCGAAGACCGTGTGTTTCGGGGTTTCTTTTGTAGTCAGATTAGCTTTCCCTCACTGTCCTAGCCAGCTCCATTTTTTGTTATTTTCTTTCCTTTGGCACCACTCTAGTTCCTTACCCTTGTTATCATACTTCCTCGTCCCTCACCAGAATCCCCCTGCTTCCAAAAGAATTATCCTAAATGTTACACCCCTTTTCCCCTAGACACTTGGGGTCGTAACACTCAGTCACAATCATAGTTCCACATTCAAGTTGTACTGGTCCTTAAACCACCCCACAGAAAACCAAGACAAGATCAATCTCAACTGAAGAAATACCATACATGTAAGCTCAATGTAGATGTGACACAAACAGCAGTGTAGGGTAGTTTACCCTTACATATTATGCAGGGTTTAATGCGTGCTTTCACACTGTAAGTTTTTTACAGAAAGCACAGTGAAATGTTTCAGGGAGTTCTTTTTACATGACCCTTCTCTGTAATTTTGCTATATCTCACTTTGCGCTTACCAGTGGCTATCCCAGTTATCTCAGATGTATAATAATTTATTAATGCTCTTTTTTATTCCAACCTTCATAGAGGTATTTAAAAACAAAGTAATTCATTCAGCTCTTCATTGGTTATTTGAAGTCGGGTCAGTTAAATTATTGTAATGAGAGAACATGCTAACGAGTATAAAGGAATAGTACTAATACAGTACTTTGGCATTAACAAGCCTAGCTAAGGAAATGACTGCACTGTTGCATCCCCTCTCACTAACTGTATGAGTAATGAACCAGGGAGGCAGCTACAACAAGTGAAGTTGGAGTGGAGGGATAAGTGCCAGAAAAGATGTGCACAGAGCCAGGGAGTATTTATTTGACCTCCTCATAAACTTCTTAACTTTTTAACACCAGATGTTATATAATTACCATTATCTGTAATTATATGTTGTTTTTCATTGTATTTGAATGCATTGTACCGTACATATAGGTGTTTCAGAGGAAAGTGGAATCAGTAATCCAGGAAAGTGTATGCATGAAAACATGCATGCACGTTCTACAGTATGTTTACACACAGAATATTAAACAATGGGGAATGTACAGTAGATAGAGAATAAATGACAAAACCCTGCTTTTGATGTGTATGTGATTTATTTTGGTGATCCAAATGCCTGTATTATAGAAAGTGTAAAGCCACCAGTTAGAAACTATTTTACAGTTTACAAGTATGCACACTTTTCAGTTCAAAAGATTTTTGTATTTTGGGGGAAACTCTAATTGTGCTGTGGCATGTACCATGCTCTACAGAGAAATTACATTGTTTAGGAAAAACAAAACAGGATTATACTACAGAACGAGACAGAATCAAGCAATTTAAATTATTTGTGTATCTTTGAATACTGGGTTAGAGCAAACCCCATAAAAGGAAACAGTTATTTAAAACGAATTCATTCCTATACATAGTGTTCAGTACAGATGTTCAGGTAATAATATTTAAGCTGCTCCCACCTTTTTATTTTTTTAAACAAAGTTTACAACAGGAACAATAACAAATTGATCAAAAATTTCAATAATAAATATATACCATTCTTTTTTTATACTGTATTACAATTTTTTGCTAAGTATAAAACAAATAATAACACAGTAAAGTAATTCAGTCCTGAAATCCACACAAAGTTGTAAAGGCTTTCTTAAATGCCAAAATATGAGTCATCTTTCTATACAGAATACATAGCACTTGTTATTTGTAGAAGAACTTAAGAAATAAGAAAACTTTATGATGAGAACAGGTCATACAGCCCATCACAGTTGGCCATTTTTCTATACAATAAGCAATCCTATTGAAGCAGTAAAGTTAGTTTTCAAACACACCAATGTCTTTGTCTCCAGATTGTGGGTTTAGTAGCCTACTGCATTCCACACACTGATAATGAAGACATTGAAAGTTCTGAAAACCAAGTTTGATAAGCCATAATACAATCACTTAGTTTGTAGTTCGCAATGACATGTTTTTCTCAAATTTAAAAGAAACATTAAAACTGTTGAAATGTCATGCCTAGCACCAGCTACAAAACCAATTACAATATTGAATAGAATGTACTTTACTGTAAAATATGAAGAACTCTCATGTTGAAAAGAATTATATTTCTTTACAATTAATATTTCTTTATATTAGCAAGAACATTTTGCATTTATCCAAATTATTAATATTTCTAAAATACTTTTGAAAGTATAAAATATTCCTTTTTTCACAATTAAAACAAATCCTTTTGGTATTCAAGAGTCTTAAATATATTAATTTCCTTCAATCCAGCAAATGCTTCTAAATACTTAACTAGTCCACAATAAATAAGTGAATCCTTACGTGTGGTCAAATTATACAGCAGTTGTACAGAGAAGAACAAAATTAAATAAGACAACACAGCTTTAGTTATCTCTTAGTTCTCATCCACAAGACAAGATCTCACTGTGCAAGTGAAGTAAAAGGCTGCAGGTTTCACTTTCTCTGTTGTATTCTAGGAACAAATAGCACCTCGATGGCTCAGGTTAGAAACGCTAAACCACCACAAAAAAAAAAGTGTGTTTGGTGATTGTCAGCTCTGTAGTCCTTCAGTTAAAAAGCAAACAAGCACATAAAAATGCGGACTGCACCTTTGTGCAATTAAATAAGCCACTGTATTTTAATGGCATTAAAGGCAGACAATAAGTGGAGGCTGTGTCCAGTGACTCTGTACAATGCACTAGGGAAATAGAGCCACCGGACCCAAAGTCCATGGTCAATGACAGTCATTTAGTAATAGCAAAAATCTATTCATTCTTATCTCTTTAGCATATTTTATACACCAAAGTTGTTATGCCACATTTGTGTGCTGGCTGCTTAGGAGATCGAGAGCTGTCTTTTGCTTCAGGTATTCAGCTCGTTGTTTCCTGATGTTTTTTCTTCTGCATACTGAAACATCAGGATGGAGTTGTAGATCTTCAAAGCTGGACCCAGTTTGATGTTCATGATCTTTACTATGTCGGTCTGAGTCATCAGCAAGAAGGCCTCTCCATCGATCTGCTGTAAGAGAACACACAAGTCACATTGTCTGATTATTGTCTAATTCAAATATAAAGATTTTAATACCATTTAATATATGGTAAACAGCTATGGATTCTTTTCATTTATTTTTATGGCTTATTTTCTTTATACTTAATTGCTTCAGTCTCTTTTTCCATTGTGAAATGTTTTCTATGTTCACTCTGAAATGCAGATTAATTTAAAAAAAAGTCATTAATAATAATGAGAAAGTAAATGCAGGTACAGCAACTGGTTGAGTGAGAGGTGGGAGCAAGTAAGCCTGTCGCCCCAGCCTGAGGCAGTCGTTGGCTAATAGCATATGCAGTTTCTAGAGAAAAACCTTTATCCAGTGTTGCAGAGAAAGACATAACAATGAAATCATTTTTTACTTTCATACTTAGTTTTTGCCATGGGCAATAAATAAATGTGTGTATATATATACAGTAGGTGGATAAAGCTAATAATAATGGTAAAAATCCGATGAAGGGCCACTCTTGGCCTCCATCTGACCCTATTGGTTTATAGATGGAGTGAGCCAGTCTCCTGCAGCTCCTTTGCCAAGCAGTTCTGGACTGTGGAGAATCTCCACGCACCTGTGGAGAAATACTTGCGCGGTGCTATACAGCAGCTCTTCAGGAACATGCTGTGCAGAACTGCTCGCACTAGAGCTGCAAGAATGAAGGCGGCGTTCTTATTTCCGACAAGTGAAGAAAACGTTTGTGCTAGTGAAAGACCCAGATTTTGCATCTGAGTCTACTCGTTAACTCGTTTACAAAAAGACGTTCTTTATTGATGACATCAGTTATGAAAAGGTACAGACAGAGACTGACTGTTGTAACGCACGAGCAGATGTGGGACTAGACTGAAAGAATAGTAAATGGAATATCTACCCTTCATAACACTGTACTCTGTTCTGTAAACTGAACACAACTTTTGTATTTCAGCAATATATATTTTGTCTAAAAGTATTAGCATATTACAGTTGTGAGCCCAATTTTAGATATGATACATCAGATATGATTTACAGTGTTCAAGTTATTTATGAGGTTTGTGATTTTTCTCCACTAACAGTTCACTTCATATTCTCTCACATATTCTATTTTAATATACATGAAACAAAGCAGTTTTTTTCTTTATTGGAATGTTTCTGTAGACATTCCTCAAATCCACTTTGCCAATAATTGTCAAGTCCCCGATGTCAGAAAGTTTGACACTTGCAAATGTATCCTGTAATCTGTAGTAAAAGCTACATTGCACCTGTTCCACATAATTAACCGTATATTATAAAAGGGAATTAATATTCATTACTTTAAATGCAGAATGTAAAACACCAGGGAGTCTTCTAGCAAATGTATCTCTGCTTACCTCATCTTTAAATTGCTTGGCTGGCTCCTCACAACCAGGGAGAGAATGCACAAAGCTTGCCACCTAGACAGAATGAGAACATCTCATTATAATAAAAGTTTTTTAAAAAGTACTTTAAATGCTACACTTCCAGAATTAGCTGTAATTAGAAACTTCTCAGTTTTTATTGCTCTGTCTTACAAAGGACACACACCCACACACCAGGTACAAGATGACTTTAAAACAAAGTAAACAAAAGTACTACACAATGCTTCTGTGAATTGTTGAATATCCTCACCACACCTGGCCTTACTTTTGATCTAGTAATTTACTGTACATTAAAGCAGCATCACTGCTGAAGTAAATTACAGCGCCCAAAGCTGCAAAACCATGAATAATTTGTAACACACTGGGACTGGGTGTGCCTTCTTGTCATCCTTTTAAAGGCTGCTTTCACAAACAACTGCTTCCATGAAGCCTGAAAGATTACGGGAAATTATCTGTCTCTGTTGTCACGTGCTTCATCCAGTCTGGTTTTTCCCTTTAACAAGTTCCTTTGTCTTCAGTCCTTTCTGTACTCCTCAGCAGCTTCCTTGTGTCACTTGTGCTAAACAGTCGAAAGTGAAACACTGGGGTGCCTTCCACACCCTGAATACCTGAGGCGGGTGACTTCTTCTGGAGGCGTTAAATATCCTGAACAGCTTCCCAACGGTTTCTGGGTCTTCCTCGTTTTCTGACGTTTAAACTGGCTCTCCATGTCTCTGTTTTCTTCAGTGTTTTGATTGGGGCTATCTGTTTTTTAGGACTCTGCCCCCCCAGGCCAGATAGGGGCAGCTAAAATACAAGTGCAGCACTGTAGCCTAACTGTTAGAACTCTGCATTTCTAACCAGAGGATCATGGATTCAAATGTTCAAAAAAGCATCAATACACTGCCCGTGATGTGAGTCTGTCGGTGATTTATTCTGTAGTGTTTTTTTTCTGTCCAGTGAACACAGCCTGGAAGCTGAATGCCAGTTTGCATTTTTGTTGTACATCTGAATTGAACTCTTAATGCTGGCATTTCCAGTATGTTTGTGAGCATGTTTTAAACCCATTCTATTACTGTACAAATGAGATCACACCACAATTTAAATGACTCAATATTACAAAAATCTTAGAATATTTTAGTATCCAAAATAATTGAATTTAGTTATGCAACAGTATTAAGGTTTGGAAAACCTTATGAAAGTGCTACTGCAAATGCACATATTCTAAATGCTTTTGTGAGAATGTAAGGTCACTGGGAAAGTTTTTTAAATATTTGATTTGTTAATCTGAAAAGGTCACAGTTTGTCAATAGTGACAATAAAGAAATGAGAACAGGGCAAATACAGGGATGCCAGTTGGTCTGGAATATTACACTGTCAGCACAGGACTGTTACAAGACAGTATGATCATGAAGACTGGTAGCAGTGGTGGTAGTTTTTTATATAATGTTATATTGAATATTCCACATGTTGTATTTGTAAAAGGAGTGGGGAGAACTATTGCAGGAGAATAAGAGGATATATCCAGACATTTATTCCAATACTTATTTAAGCAGTAAGACAGCACTGTTTCCCTGAATTAAATACTGTAGCAAATTGAATAACATCACATGTACTAATACACAGACCAAACAAAAAGCATGTGTTACCATCTTTCCCTTAAATGCCTGGTTAAAAAGCCCACTCTATAAAATCTGACATAAGGACAAGCCAAAGTAGTGGTTATTTTTGTGATTCATTGACATTAAGGTCCTACAGGAATTAAACAACAGAAGATCTGAACTCTCACAAGGAAATCATGCTACAAGTAAGGCAGTCGGCTATATTAATTCATTAAAAATCCTTAATTATATTTCTAAGGTTTTAACACAGTTTTTACGAGATATGTAAAGAAGACATAACAATAATGGAATTTGGAATTTGCAGAATCTGCCCTTACCAAGGCCTCCTTGCTAAGGCATCAACAGGTCACACTTATTAGTGGTCACTAATCAACTTTGTAGTCACTTTTAGTCACATTTTACTCATTTACTGTACAACCCACCACCTTGAATTAAAGAACTATAGTAGTTAAAGGCCTGTTTAGTAAGTACATTTTCCACTGGCGTTTTATTTAATTTTAATAGGACCAAAACACACTACACACCTGACCAACGCATAGCAAATGCATTTAACTTTGTAATGCACAACCATCTACAACAAGCCCTTAGAAGATTTAGAATACTGTGCACAAGTTTGGTCACCACATGACAGAAAAGATATTGCAAGTCCTACACTGACATGCTAAAATAACTGAACCTTGACCAAAGGGAATTACAAGGGAATCTGATTAAAATATTAAAAAATCCCCAAAGGCACTGACAAGGTCAATCAAGGGGATTCAGTGAAACATGAACCAGAGGACTGAAATGGAAACTACATGGAAGTGCAATTCAAACCAAGAACAGGAGGAAACTTCTTCATGCAACCAGATTGCAGGTCTATAGAACTAGCTAACCAGCCATGTTGTTGAAGCCAAAACACTGAGTTCTTTCATGTCTGGATGAGATCCTAAGATCAATTAGCCATGAAAAGTGGGCAGAATGTCCTCCTGTTGTTTGTAATCGGTCTTATTTTTTTAACATTATAAACGTACTTTCAACTGTGAGCAAAATGTGCTTCTTCCAAACAAGATTAATGACTTCTCACCATCACAAGGAAGGCCTATGTGGCCTTTCAGACCTCACATTTCCCATATGCTTAAATAAATGTTGCCTTATTTGAATTGTTGAGCACTTTTAAAATGAAAACTATTCAAATTAAACAAGAATTTCATTTAAAAAGTAATAATTTTTATTATTAGAACAGGCATTTACTGACAAAGATAGCAGGTAATAGGAGACAACTGATAACAGGAGAAATTCCAAGTGAAAAAGCAATTGAAAGCCGACTATCACTATCACTATCACTATCACTCTGTCTCAGTTTTGGATCACATTTTGACAGACCATTCGCCTAGGGACAAACTGCAAACACGGATACTGTAAAAGATAAGGTACAGCAACGAGCAAATACAACTACAAACACAAATACAACAGTCCTCTTGCATTAACTAATGTTTACATAGATTTAATTTAAATAATTTAAAACTATGATAAATACTAAACTGTTGGGAAAGTGGTTGTAGTCCTTACATTTAAGCATTAAAATGGATTAGAAATAGTACTGTAAATCAATGTAGGATGAAAAAATAAAAAGCTACAGATAACAACACTGCACTGTTGTTTTTCTTCTTTCAAGGCAAGCTCTGAATAAGCAGTTGTATGTGTAAATTCTGGCAGTGGGAGTTTGGCTTGATCCTTTTAACTATAACATCCTTTAACAGCTTGTCTACTCCTTTAGTTTGCTGTTACTAAAATCTGCATCTTAATGTTCCTAAAACTAAGAATAATTATCAATGTGTATGCTGTTTGTTGCTGTTGTGCCACATTTTAGAAAATAACATACTACCAATTTTTCAAAGACATGGACCATCTGCTTAGAGATTTCCCATCAAAGCACTGGCCAAGCCCAGCCTTACTTAGGTACTAAAACCTAACACAAATACTTCATTTATGTGCCAAATGACTAGCAAATAGATCTAACTTCAGGACATTTGTATATTTGCAATAATTATCTCTTCAAAGGAAACAGAAATCCAAAATTTGGGGGGACCATCTGCATTTGGATTAAAACGATACATATGCTTCACCCTGGAAAATAAAAATACCTGCTGAGAGAAGATTCTTTAGATTAAACAAGAAATCACTCTTTGTATGAAAAGGTTACAATTTCAAGGGACTGAAATGCAAATCCAACATCAAACAATTCTCTTTTCTTTCTTACACGCATCAGGTCACTTGCTTAATTGAAAACACCTCTAAACAGAAGCAAATTCCTGCAGCAAAGTTCTCTCCAGCTGTAATCCATGACCATTTAAAAATAAAATCAAAATGCCGAACCTCAGTTTTAATGCACAAGAATGAAAAGAAGTTTAAATTTTAGATTGCATTTGCAAAATGCAGTTATTTTCTGATGATTATAAAAATAACTAGGTCTTTACCCACAGCCAAACTGAGCTTCTTGTTCTCTCCAGTGCAAATATGGCCAAATTCTGGTAACTCTTAAATGCTGGGTATAATAGAGCAAAACTATCAACATTTTAAATATTCTTTTTAAAAATGGTGAAAGCTATCTCCCTTCACATTTAAGAAACATATTAACAGAAAAATTAGTACACCCATTTATATCAAAATTCAGATCAACAGTTTGTAATGAGATCTATTTAGAATAATCTTCATGATTCAACATGCAATAAGACTTAACAAAACACCAGTAACATTAAGACACATTTTATTACATTAAACAGTTAAAATCTACTTTTGAGGCAGTATATTTTTTTGGGAACTGGAATAAGATCAGAGCCCTGAAAATGTAAAGACTTCGTAGGTCTATTGTACTGTGAAAATGTTTGCATACAGTAACTCTGTGGAAGACTGTTCTATATTCTCATATATTGTAGACCTAAAACACAACTGGATCCTCATGAAAGTCTTATTAAAATATGAAAATGACATGAGTAAACCTAGATCAGAAAGCTATAAGATGTATTTTCATGTGAAATTTCTTCTTCCTAAGTCATTCTGTTGTGAACCAGGATCATTGTCTTGCCACCTGACCCACTCTGGGTTCAGCTTCAGCTGATGAATGAACGGCCAGATAGTCAATCAATGATTTTCTTCTCACTCAATTATTAAACCACCTTAATTGTGTAACTGTATGTAAACCAGGTGTGCTTTATTGCTTCACATACACTAATTCTTAATTCTTTTTTTTACTTCTGACAACACTGCATCTCAGACAGCATTGCAGTGGTAAATTTATACCCTTTATGTTACTTAGGTACAGACACTTTTTCTTAAACTAAGGTACCATGGTAAGAAATTGTAATTGCCATAATTATATCAGGGATTCACAGCCTTCTTCTAGGCACTATATCAGAAGAAAATATTCACTCAGATGTCATTTGATTAAACAAAGCTTGCACACTTCACCAGAAGGAAATCTTATATCTGGGATATATGGCATATATTAGCATAACTATCCTTCCTTGCAAAGTCACCATCTGCACGAACAGCACCATCTGTTTGACGGACTAGGTGCACGGCAGCGCTGATTCCAAAAGCAGAAGTGAAGGAACAACACCAAGAAGAAACCACACACGTGACGCAGACGGCAAGGTGGGTATTTCTGTTCACTTTGACAGAAGCCAGTTACTGTGCGTGTCGCTGCCTTGGCGTGAAACAAATGAACAGAGTCAAGCTGATCCCACATGAAAGCATGCTAAAGGCAGGCTCTGCTTGGCCAGGGCGCCGGCAGCATCTGCTGTGCAGCAGTGTTACCTCATCTGCAGTCCAGTGGAGCACCTGGCTGGCCTGCACACCGGCCACCCCGGGCAGGAGCTTGCAGTGCTGCTCCCAGCACAGCGGCAGGTCGCGGCTGGGGTGGGCAGACATGGCTGACAGGAAGACAGACTGGTGCAGGGCCTGCTGCATGCTGTCAGAGCCGCAGTCTGCAAGAGAACAGAACAGGACAGCGCCCGGTTACTCCTGCGCACACCCCCCACGGACCTGTCGTCGGCAGAGTGCAAGCGTCACCTGTGCAAATCAGGTTTTGAAAACAAGTGCCTGTTACCAGCTGAGCTCACAGATGACATTTCCAGCATCCCAGGTGAATAAATTCATACTATTTCAAGACGACCAAAAGTGTACTGAAAGATTTTCCTTGAGCTTAAAACACCTTTATTTTAGATTCGACGCTGAGTTTTCCAATGAAATAAATATGATATAGGTTTGAGTGGAGGAAAGGAACAAGTACATAAATGAAGAAGATGTACAGTTACAGCCAAAAAGTCTTGTCTTTGTTCACATTTATCAATGTGAAATTAATTTTTCTTGTTCTTTCATTGAAATTTCATTCATTTAGACAGTTAAGACATTTAATAGTCTTTCTACTTCACTATCAGGATAGTTATTTAATAAACTGTATAAAAACAGTAATTTAGGAAAGTTAGTACCTTCTGTATTTTTGCTAAATGTTCCTGCTTTTTAATGCTTTTGAGCCTACTTGCAATTTAATCAAACAAGTTTGGATGTTGTTGTCCCGTACCAAAACCATTTTCCACACCAGAACCTCAGTGGCTCGTTGGCCCAGAGCTCTTCCTGGTTTCTGTAATGTTAAGTGAACAGAGAGAGCATGTGCCCTCCCCTCTGGGTGGGACACTAGTCCATCCCAGGGGTAACATTACCTCCCACTTATACAGCTGGGAGGGCTGGAGAAACTGGGGTGAAGAACCTCACTCAGGGGTACGACAGCAGAGTCAGCAGCTGAGTCTTGAACCCAGAATCTGCCAGGCCAGGGGCAAAAAAAGACCAGGGGCAAAAAAAAGAATAGAAAATATAATAGAAACAATATAAATGTAACTGTAGATTTACCAAGTATTTACTGTATTCCAAATGTACACCTAGGTTTCTCAGTGCTTAAATGTTCAATAAGCTTTCCCCTCACCTCCTTGTACCTTTCAGATACTATTACAGACAGGACCCTTTAGGAGCCTACTGGCTGAGCTCCCCCTGCTTCCATGTCAATTACCATTAAGTCATTGAAGGAATCTTCAGCCTCTCACACTGTATGATGCCACAGGAAGTGAACCGATAGAGTCAAGGTTAGCTGCTACAGCTCCGTTATTAGGCTGTACTGTAACAAGCTGCTGCTCCAAAGGGCTCTTTCAGTGTAGTCAGAGCTTTTTACTCTCTCAAGTAAGTGAATTACTGAGCTCATACAGTTGCGGTGTAATCTTCTGCATGGTAACTCTGCATGCTATATCATTTTGGCTGATTTGTGCAGTGGAACATGTCAGGCCTGCGTTTGACAAGTGTACAGGAAATACTTCAGGGCTAAAGCTTTCAGTGCATCATTTCACTTTGTTCTACAGTGAGAGGATAAAATACTTTAATAAGGGGACATTCCATATATATTCATCCCTTGAAAGCTATTGTAGAGTCATAAATTACTTTTATGACCTTTTCTGATACAAAATAAACAATTATAAGGCACAAAACATCTTTAACTGTAAAAAAAACAACAACTACATATTAGAGCAACCTTAACGTTTCACACTTATCACTTAAAACATGAACACATTTACCTAAGTTAAATAATTGACCTAAGTTAAATACTAGAAAAATATCTTAATTTTCCTCAAGTGTTTAAGTATATACCTTTGTTTTTATATACAGTGTTTAAGGTATTTTTTTTTATTTTAAGTACATTTATGAATCCTAAGCAGTATTCAGGAAGCAGTGTTCCTGGTACTGCAAATACTAAAAAATCCTACAGGGAAGACAAACATGCTTTCACTTTCATTGCCAGCTTGGAAAAACCTCAGTGTACTGCTGAATAATGCATACTAAATATTTCTCACAATGCTGAGAAAGAAAAGACCTCATGTTATAGCACATTTAATCCCAAAAGATTCCAAAGCACTTAAAATATGATAAGGGCGGCTTCACTTCCTAAGAGCTAAGCTTTCCAAAAGCTGCATACACTAGTGCCTAACATCTTTATTCATACCTCTGTGAAACAGGAACATTACATCATACTGTATAACAGAATGAGTCAAGGATTGGATAATGTGTCTCGTTCAATAAATTCTAAAAATGTTATACTCGAATTTTTAAGTCCATATTCTAGTAAAATATGGCAGGGATCTATTATGTTTTAGGGCTGTTTCGTATCTATGGGTCTTGAAGCACTTTTTAAGGACTTCAACATGTACAGTACTAGGACATTTTAGCCAGGCACCTGGCTTCTTCTACAAGAATCTTAAGCTTAGCCAAAAATGGACAATCGAGTATGACAATGACCCAAAGCATACATCTACAGTAATTAGTTCAGGTGGGTAGCTGCGTCAGCATGCGTAGGCTGCAAAGGAACAAGTAATAGGTTTATTCCCTGCTGGAAAGAGAAGAAAGAAAACACAAACCTTTTCAGGCCGTGGAGCCTTCTTCAGATCTAATACATCTAATTAGACAACCATTAACAACATAAAAAAAGATCTTCAGAATCAAGATCAGTTCTTGATCGGCCATCTCAATCCAATCGAAAATACATGGTCTGAAATACACTTGGGTGATACAGCAGCAGCCCAGCTACTGTACACTGACGAGTTGAATTACAATGTCTATTTCACATAAAATAAAAAGCATTTATGCATCCTTGCATCTGCATACGCTATATTGCTCCTGCATGAAAGTATATCTGATGGGCTCCTTTTCTAAAGTGGCTCCAGGTGCATACCGTACATACTTCTTAGATAGATCATGTGCTGCAGATTAGAGAAATGACGGTTCATCACAACAGGTCATCCTACATGCCTGCTGTGAGTCTCTATGCTTCTGTGGTCCAGCACGCTTCATAATGACACGCATAAAAGAAAGCGGACATGATTGTACATCACACACATAGAGCACAATCATAACTAAGAGATTTGTTTCAATGGTAAACATTAAGCATCTCTATTGCCACTAATCAGTAAAACAGTAGGAGATTTTTTTTTTGCAAGGGGCACCACCTGAGACAAATAATACAGGCCTGAACTGGAGCACACACAGTAGAGTTATTTATCTAAGGGCTTTCAAGTATTACCTGATTCCTTTGAAGCCTCAATTGTTACAGAATACAGCTGTTGAGCTCTAGTTTATCAAGAACATTTATATGCGGTATGTTTCATTTAAGTGCTCTTGCTTTTTCAATTGATAGTTATTTTGATATATGCTGTACACAGCTATCTGCTGCCAATGTACGGAATTTAAAAGCTTTGCCCGAAACTGGATAGACATTTGACATCTTTTAATTTGGTTTGAACTAGAAGGCTCAGAAGATCATGGGTTCAACCAACAACATGTAATTCAAAAGTGCTACCAAACAGCTCACAAAAAAGCAGGGAAAGTTCAGCTAATGTTGCAAAACTGAATAATTCACAGAAATAACAAGACACTGCCATGAATAAAATTAAATTTGTATTCAAGTATGCAGAAATATCAAAGGATCTCTGCGTGTTCTTGTTATTTTTTATTTCATACAGTAATGCCAATGATCAGAATTACCATCACAAACAAGAATGTTATAGTTTGATCCATCTAAATCAATGAGATCGCACCATACCTATACAATCCTGTACAAAATGAAATATACTGAGAAGTAATGTAGCTCAGCTCAAAAACTTGGAAAGTTTTGGCAGTTACACTGAGAGAACTGTGGAAAAGTGATATACAGTACATTTTAATGTCAAAAACTATAAAGGAAAACGAGTGTGACAAAGAAATATTTGCATCTCTAATCATAAAAGACATAAAGGCCATTTTATCCACTATTATAATTATAATTATCCACTATAATTTAAAAGCAGAAAGTGCCTTCTAACATTAATTGGTTGATTATCAACCAACCAATTTTTATTTTTATACAGAGCCCTTCAATCCAGAGCATTCTCAAGGTGCTTTACCAACATTATACATATGGAGGCCTGTGTAAACATTCTGTGTAAAAATCATTTTAAACAGAAAAATAATAATAACAATATCACAAAAAACTAAAAATGTAAAATTAAAAGAGAGAAATAGGTTAAGACTTGAAAACCACTGAAAAAAGTGAGTTTTGAGGCGAGACTATGGTCAGGAAGAGACTTTCAAGGATGTGGGGCTACTGCTCAAAAGGTTTGACCCCCTAACTTCCGATGTGATGTTCCTGGCACCCTGAGGAGCCAAGAGCCAGTTGTATTAAGTGAGTAAGCTGGAACATGTGGGGATATGAACTCTTAAAGGCACACTGGAGACAGACCACACAGTGCCTGGCAGGTCAACAACAGAATACTAAAGTCTGTCCTGTATCAGAACGTTGACCAGTGCAGGTTTTTCAGCATCAGGAGAAACACATTTGTCATGTCACCCTACAACTCACATCTGGCAACCCACTGAAGCTAAGCAGGTGTGAGCCTGGTCAGTACTTGGATGGGAGACCTCCTGGGAAAGCTAAGGTTGCTGCTGGAAGAGGTGTCAGTGGGGCCAGTAGGGGGTGCTCACCCTGCAGTCTATGTGGGTCCTAATGACTCAGTATAGTGACGAGGTCACTATACTGTAAACAGGGGCCGTCCTTGGATGAGATGTAAAACCAAGATCTTGTCTCTCTGTGGTCATTAAAAATCCCAGGGCTTTTCTCGAAAGGAGTAGGGGTGTCACCCCGGTGTCCTGGCCAAATTTCTCATTTGCCTTTACCAATCATGGCCTCCTAATAATCCCATCTATGAAATGCCTTCATCACTCTGTTCACCACCCAACTGAAAGCCGATGTGTGGTGAGCATTCTGGTGCACTATGGCTGCCGTTGCATAATCCAGGTGGGGCTGCACACTGGTGGTGGTGGAGGGGATCCCCATTACCTGTAAAGAGCTTTGAGTGGAGTGTTCAGAAAAGTGCTATATAAGTGTAAGGAACTCTTATTATTTTTTGCTGAC